TAATTCCTCTAATTTTCTCCTTTATTTATTTCCTTCTTTCTGCTCTTTCCTGTATTTTCCTTTTCATTCTCTCCTCATTTTGTTCTCTTTTCTGCTTTTGTTATTTCTTCTTTTTAAATTCCTCCCTTTTTTCTAAATCCTCTTCTTTTTTGTCAATTTTTGCCTTCCATCCTCCTTTTTCTTCTTTTGCCCTCTCCTTCCTTCTTTTCCTGTATTAACGTTTACTTCCTACGTAAGATCCATAGTAATCTTATGTTCCTAACTTTAAGTCTTAACTCAGCATTTTCATTTGATCCAGTGAAGTCCAGTAAAATACTTGCTCCACTAAAATCACTGATATATGATGAAGAGACACTTACTCAGACATGTTTACGGTTTCTGTTCTTCACGATCTGTTTGGAGAAAGAAACAGAAGAAAAACTCATCAGGATGGAAACATATGAGACACCTCATTTGTATGAAATGTGATCTATTCAGCCAGTTGATGAGCAGCTGAGTGATGACAGAGCTAACTTTGGGGTTGGGGTCAAATGTGGCCACTGACGCCTGCGATAAGCTCCTTTACGGGGTTCATAACTAAATATCCTTGGGGAGTTAACACTTCAATTCCTTTCCCAGAGAATCTGTCTAACAGAATTTGCTGCGGCAGCAGCTTCGCAGCCAACACCAGCGGGTAAACACACCCCAAAAACAAGGCAGCCGGTCTCAGAGTCAAGTTTCAGAGGATATATTTAATGAGAATAACACACAGGTTTAGTTTTCCAGATGAAATATGACACAAAGAAGCTAATTTAAGGCAAGAAAGTTTATAGTTTTAGGCTATAAAACTTCTAAAACTGTAAAACAAAAAGAAGAACTTTTATATTTGTGTCCACAAATCAAACCGTAAAACACTCAGAATCAGCTCCATGCTTTACCAATCAATATACTTAAAAAAAAGTAACAAATAATTACATTTTGTGATGCTTATAGCAGAGTGACTTCACAGCTTGAGAAATGTTTAACAGTGAAGCATAAATTCCCTAAACAGTCAAAAAGATTTTATATGATAAAAAACAAAAAAAGGAAACTAATATCCATCATAACACCTCATTTTTTCCATGTTTTTTCCTTCCTTCCTTCAGGACATGTAGGAACACCCAGACACAGAGCTCAGGTTTAAAAAACTTTCAAGTCAAGTACAAAGGAAAAACTTAGCCATGAAAAGTAACTCC